ACTTGAAAGCAAACCCAGACATTTTTGGTATGATCACAATCTAAGCTTCTTTAATGGGAAAAAACATCATGAAACAGGTGGAGAAGAACCAGAGGGGAGCAGCTACAGCTGAAGCAGGGCAGAACACTGAGATTTTTTTTTTTTTAGCCAATTTAGCGTGATGCATCTGGGTTTCAGAGGAGCTTTTGAGAAGGACACAGCACCAGCAGCTGCTGGGAAGTGAAGGCCAAAATCCTTACTTTCTTTACTACTGTCCAAATTTAAGTATTTATGACTCAAGAGGTGAAGCCTGACTTTGCTGATGTCAGTAAGAACTTCAACAAAACCCCTTATCTACACATTATTTAAGGCTATTCGTTATTAGGAGATTTGGAAGCGTAGAAAAATTTAAACCTACTGTTCTCAGTGTCATGTACATGCAGGGACCACGGAGGCCCACATGCTGACACTCCGAAGGTGGGTTCCCAACATGTGTTTTATATGTCCACCTCTTTAATTTACACAACTACAGATTTTAACTTGCATCTTGAAAAAAACAGGTTAACACACACCAAAACTACAGACTGCAGACTTTTGTATTAATAACTGCTCCCACACCCTCCAGTATAGGATGCTTGAGGAAAAAGAAAAGAAAGAGCAATTAATAGCAATTTTGATAAACTGTAAAGCATTCATTCAGGGGTAGACTGAGCATCCAATTTATTGTCTCAAGGTAACTTTTCACAAACTCTTCAAAAGCTAAACACCCTGCATCAGCCTCAGGTCTCACCCTGCAGAAAGGTGCAAAACTCAGTCCCAGTTGTGAAAAGAAGCATTTTTCTGCACATCTAGTTGCTGCCCTGTTTTCCTTCCCAATGTGAAGACATTATTAAATTATAACAACTTCAAGACAAGTAAATGGAGGAAAACCACAAAACACTGGATACAGAACAGCTCCAGTACAAGCAAACTTGCCAGAAGTGTATTCATTATGAAAAGCATGTGGAGAGGCAACAATTCTGGATGTCACAGCCACTGCTGAAGAAATACAATATATAGATATTTCATTGACGGTTGGAAGGATAAATCAAGTTAAATTGCTCACAGAAGCAAACCCAAAGCATCTCGTTGTGAATCTAGAAAAGTAAATTCGCAGTCTCTTGGGAACATTGCCATCATTTGTTTTCATTTCTTTGACTTCTCTTCATTTATGCTAGAGATTAGCTCTCCCAACAATGATCACAGCAATATAAAAACGTGTTCCCAGAGGAACAGGAAGAAAGTAATATTTACTAAAGTAAACCCAAGTGAAGAAATCAAAATAGGAAGAACTAAGTTTTTTTAAAAGAGAGCCACAAACTACTTAGGAAAGGGAAACAAAATGACTTTAACTGTTGCTGAACCACAAAACATCTACCCAAAAATCCACAGCATTGTTAGGAGACCAAAAAGCAGAGAAAAAAAAACCAAGCCAAACCCCATAAATACCTGTCATCAACAGTCTTTTCTACATTTTCACATTGCCCATATTGCTCAGAATTTATTCACTATTTATTTTTCATTTTTCTTAAGTAAAAAAAAAAAACCAACAAGATTATCACATTTAGTTTTTTCTCATTTTTGGCCAAATATAATCCTACTATAGACGTAAACAAACAAATTACTCTTGAAACAACATTTTACAAGCTAAATGATTATTAGTATTTTATCAGCACATGAAGCTAATCTACAACAAACTCTGGCCTTTGGCAGACCATTTCACCTCAGCTTAGTTTTAAATTACAACTTCCTTAATTTTTAGCGTTTTGATCACAGGGGAGGCAAAACCAGAGCTGCCTCTGGATACGGACCCAGCACAAATTCATTCCTCTTCCTTGCGCAGTTTCCCAACAACCCGGCCAGTTTACAAACACATCTGCTATACATGTCCTGCTTGGGGTATTTTTTTGAGGTTTCAGGGCTGTTTTCTCTATGCTGTTGGTTGAACTGGGAACCATCACATGCTTTGTAACGTTGGGGTTTTTTTTCCCCAACTTGAAAATTGAGAAAAAGGAGATAACCAAAACCCCTAAGGTACTTACCTGGGCAAAAGAGCACCAAGTCCATCGCAGATATGAAATCTCAGAGCAACTGAAGGAAGAGGCAGAGCAAACAGAGACTTTGGGGACTGCTCTCACAAAAGAGCCAATGGTTTCAAATATATAAAGTTTCCAGGCAAAATAAAAAGTACACGCATTGCTTTCCATGCCCACATGGGTCAAACCATAACAGACTTAAATTGCAGCAAGAGAAGGTAACATTGGAAGAGGAAAACCTTTCCTGCTAAGAGCAATCAAACACAGAAGCGAATTGCCTAGGGATCAGTAAAACCTCTCTTTCTGCAGGTTTAAAGAACCAAAACAGCCAAATGCCCATCAGGAGGGATTATAAACAGCTGAGGCTCCTGAGCACAGGGAATGGCTTAAAGGAACAGTGTGGTGTTGAGGCTTTTTTCCCTAAAGTATTCCAAATTTAATTTCCGTAACTCTTTCACCAAAGCACAGCAGGATCTGGTTTACTGAAATACAGGGGTGGTGAACAAATTCTCTAGGATGAAAATATTTTCATTTTGATAAAAGATTTTTTCTGGATCCTAAGAAATCCAATATGCTGAAAGCTTCACCAACACCAGCTGCTTCTTTCTGAGCGTGTTTCAGCTCATTCTTGCTGCCCCCATTCCCAAACTCATTTTTAGTTCTGCTCTTTGCTGCTACAGCAAGCTTGGAGTCTGAATGAAAATTTCATTTTCTTGGTACTTTAAAACATAGCTAAGGCTTTCTACCTCTTCTGACAAAGAAAGACTGTATTTATTAAAAATCTTGTTGACTATTCAGTTTTAGTTATTTTTTTCACTTTTTTTCCCCTTGGTAGGTGTAGAAATAGCAAATTCACAGCTATTATGCAGCTTTATTGGCTCCTTTAGGATCACTTAGCCTCTTTCTAGAATTTTTTTCAACTTTCACAACAACAGGAAAGGCAAGCCTCCCTCACACGCAGTTTTTTTCTTTCTCGTTCTCAGAAATACGGTATAATTTGACCTTTTTCTGCTTTCAACAGCCAGACCATCACTGCTCATCTCAGGCTCAGGAGAAATGGTCCCAAAACACCCACACCAGAAGCCCCAATTCTCCTCTTGCCCACCTGGCCCAGGTGATTCCAGGCTGGGGCAAGTGGGACTCAGGTGAGCCCAGGACTCAAAAGATGGATTGCACTTGTTTTAATATGACAGGTATTAGGAAACATGGGGATTCCTAAAGAGCTGAAGATGAACAAAATTTGTAGCCAAATAATTTGAACAACCCAGTCACAATCCACCCAGAGTACTACTCTGTTGAAACTACTGTAGAAAAAAAATTCAATGGGTTACTCAAGTCAGGAATAATTAGATTTTCCTCTTGGTTACCCAGATAAAAGGAAGAGTGCCCTCATTTCAGAAGGTAAAAAGAGAGTCCTGGAAATTAACTCCTAACTCATGAAAATCAGTTTATTCTGATTTGCTCTTGTGGAGTTGTTCAGGTCTGGTAAACACCATCTCCCGCTGTGCTCACCCCCTCCTGGTGTGATCCTGCAGAATAATGATCTCCCTTTCTAGACTTAACTGTGCTGGGCAAACACAGTCTGAGGCTTTTATGGGTTTTTTTGTTAGTCTTCTCTTGTATTAGCATCTCCTCTTCTCCTTGGTGTCCTCTAGTGATGGGGTCTGTCTCCCCTGGTCTGGTTGCCCTTGCACCACCTTGCACAGGTGAGCTCCATTCTGAGCTATTTTTGATGAGGTCTCGCCAACAGTGCAGTGGTGGGCAGGTCCATTTGTCTGCCCTTGCTGGAGCTTGGGTAAGGCATTGTGGGTGTGCATCTGGGTAAGGCATTGTGGGTGTGCATCCCAGCATGTGAAGTTTAGATATGTTGCAACCTCACCTCTAGCCTCGACAAAACAGCCTCCCCCCCCACATCTGCAGCACAAATGGACCTGGAGCAGAGCATTTGGACCCATCAAAGGCACCTGAAACCCTCAAGGCCTCCTTAACCAAAAAGTAGTTACACTTTATTAGAGAGTAATATACAATAGAATATAGAATTAGAATATTATGAGCTATTATGTGTTATTTGTTATACCAAGCGAAAGCACCTACACTCATCTCGGACTGTACTGAAAAGCTGTGATAAGTTCTTTGACATTTTTGATATATTAGCCAACAGCAACAAATATGGCATTCTGAACAAGATGCTCTGTAATTTAAGCTAAATTCTAAAATGGTCTTGGCATTTCTCATCGTTTCTCTTTCAGCTCAGCAAAACTATCTCTAGATAAGAACAGGAGAAGGTAATGTGGAGGACAGGCTCTGCCGTCATCTGAGGAGACTTCTGATGAACAGTGAAAAGCAGCCACTCCCGACAAAGTCATTTTTCTCAGATATTAATAACAAGAGAGGAGAATGTTTTAGTTTGAGGCACCTGAAGTGAGATCAGGATTTGTTAAGGGCATTGTGAAATGAACTGGCCGTAAAAATATTATGTGGGATGAGACCAGATGCTTCTAGAAACTTGAAGAGCTTCTCTCAATGTATTTTACCTTGATGACTATGAGTATTTTGCACCATAATGTGCCCTAATGGGGCTAGTTGTGTTTATTTTAATGTTCCTCCATTTTAAAGATAAGAAAAGGGAGCCAAACTTGGAGGATTTCTAACAAATACAGCTCACCACCAACAAAAACCACTCCTTGTGTTTCGGAGAATTTCACAAGAAAATCCAGCAGATTATCCATTCAGTCATGTCGAGGATTTCTGATATTGCCAGAAAATGCTAAAATCAAGGAGAATCCCCAAAAATCGCACTACCCCATTTTATTCATATTTGAAATAAGGGATGGCAGTATAGGGTCTAGATACGCACATACATTTAAAACAACACGAGGGGTACAAGCCAGTGAAACAAAAGCTTTCAGACATAAAAGCAAAATCTCATTGGTTTTCTGCACCTTACTTTTTTTTCCTTTTTTTTTTTTTTTCCAGGTCTACCAAAAGCCCTATGTCTCTTTTCTGTGTCATTGCTGCCTTGTCCTCATGAATTACGGTTCCTACGTAACTGGCGCAGGACTCCTAAACCACACAGGGGTGGGAGAAAACCAGGCTCTTCCAGATTGGAAAAAAGAATTGTTAAATAAAGGTGTAATGGACTGGCTACCACAAGGCTTGGGAGCCACGGGAAAGCAAATTGCACCTACCGGCTTGAGTGGTCCAAAAGTACAACCCTTGTGTGCAGAGGTGAAAAAAACCAACAGCATTGGTTTAACCCTGTAATTCCAGCACAGCAACGTGTTCCCTCACTCGCACCAACAGCAGCTTTGGGGCAGGTCTTGCTCTCACAGAAATAAATGACAAGGTTTTTTTGTGTAGAAGCTTTAAACTCTACATACTTTCTCAAACATATCTAATGTTAAATGCCCTTCTTTGAATTATTCCGACTTCATCTTTCCAAAGCACTATAAAATGTCTTTTATTTCCTTCATTATAAAAAATACCCAGCACACCTCTAAAGACAAATTACCATTAGTTGGAGAAAATATAAAAACCACTTCTACCAAATAGAAATCTGTAACGCTAATGAGTAATAACTTAAAAATCAGGTCAACTGAGAAAATGATTATGAGCACAGAGAGAGGAGAGTGCGTCTTTCCCATAGCATAAAGGAAGGGATATACTGATAATCCGTGGAGCTGTGCTGATTTACTCTAGCCATGACATCCTACCTTCATAGTCAGAGCAACTATTTTGCTCTCAATATGCTCAGAACTCCAACTGATATTAGTGGAATTTGCATACAAATCATGAGCGGTCCAATTCCTTCTGATTTTCTACCTCTCCAGTAAAAACCATGAGACCTGCACTACTTCACCCAATATTTCGAAAAGTTTAGAAACTTAAAACTCCCCTGAAAATTGGCTTAAAATATTTATTAATTAAAAAAGTTAAATATTTATTTATACAAATAGGATGAGAAAAATCTCATGCAGACTTTTCACACACAGTAACACAACTGAGATCCTCGGGTGAGGGTTTTACAAAAGAGCTCCTTTGTGGGACGCGGGAGGGAGAAGTGTTGCTGTCGCCCGTGTGCCTGAACGCACCGCTCACGGCCAGGGGGAAACAAGTTCCAAAACCTAACGAGTTTTCCTATGGAACATATGCCAAGATTTCCACACTCTTCACTAAGATTAACAATTAATATCTTATTACTACTACTCAGAGAACGGGACAGAGACGTATGAGCACCGGGTGATGAATTCCTGCGTACCACCGCACCTCCGAACGATTCAGGGTAATGCAGAAAGTTTCAGAAAGATTGCTTTAGATAATTCCCCTAAATGATGAAAATATCTTGAGATTGTTATGGATGGCATCTGCGCCTGCTTAATTACAAATCTGCATTGGATTCATAATTTGTGTATATTACAAGTAATTTGCATAATTAAAACAATTAAGGGATTGACATATCATGGCAATTAGAAATGCATCAAACTCTGGATGTTGTACAAAAAAGAGCTTCAATATGAAACATTAATTCTTTGAGAACAAAATATCCTTCAGATTCCTGCAGAACAACCTTCACAAATTCAATATACGTTCAATAAACTCTGTGCAGAGAAAGTTCTTCTCAGGGATCGCCGCCTCCCCGCCAAACTGTCCCAAGTTGAACCCCGAACGCTTCAGCCTTCATTTGAGTCTCTTACTGCAGCCCCAGCACGGACTTCTGGATTTATTGCCAGTTTCAGGAGTTTTTATCTCATTTTCCGTAGCCTTATCCTGTTTTCTTTGTCCCTCTTTTTAAGCAGAAGTATGAACTGATTGAAAAAATGCTCTTGGTCCTTCCTCTTCTGAACAAGGCGAAACCGCTGATCTCTTCCGTATTTCTCAGCAAACTCTTTAAATGTTGTTCTGCAGAAAAGAGAGACATTTTACAGCTGCAACTTTGTCAATCCCCCTGTCAATCCCCCCTCTTTGACCTGGATCTCACTTTGCTTTTCACACAGACACTAAAAATTGGTGTTCTGGGGAATATTTGCCAGGAAGGTGAGGGTAACCCCTGGGATGAGGAAGGCAAGATCATGCCAGAACTGCCCGGGCTTCGGACTCACACATCAGCCAGCAGTACTTCACTTCCATTTTTTGGATTAGAAAAACCTGTTTGATCACCAACAGGATGATTTTGAGTCATTAACACAGTATTTGCTGCAGCCCAGGTTACTGTGGCTTTAATCTATGCCTTATGGCCAGCATTTCAATAATTACCCGATAATAGAGCAGAAAACCCCACCCGTGTCTAATTGCAAACAAATGCATTTCAACTGTGAGCAGAACATGACGCCTGATGAGATGCCACGCTAGTTTGAGCTTTTCTAAAAATAGCAAAAGAATTAATTGTAAATTTGAGTGATGGGCACGATGCAGTTGAAACGCTCTGTCTGAGGATTTCATCGTCGGGGCAGCGTTTTTCACGGCAAACACACGTTTGATGGCCCATCACAACCAAGGCAGAGACTATGGCTGGTGGGTGAGGGTCTCTGGGGCTGTGGGCTCACAGCCAGAGCGATTTTGCCCTTGTAGAATGAAAACATCAGAGCTGGAACCAGCATTTAGCTGCTACGTTAGCCCAGAATATTCTCAGTTTTATTGTAAAAAAACTTCTTATAATTATTGCTTTCACAGAGCCTGATGCGTTGTTTGTATCTATGTGTCTAGGCAGGTAGTGCTGAACAATTATCTGCAAATTCTAGTAGAGAACACTGTAATTTCTTAGTTCCAACAATTTAATCAGTCTTTTACTACATACATCTCTTTATTTTCATATAATATACAAATGACCAAGAGCTATCCTAAGCACTGCATTCGCTGTTGGGCAGTTTTGGATCCATGACTTAAAAATCAATGTATAAAAATAAAGTATTGCATTGCATGTTTTATTAAAAGTTACTGATGTGGCATTAATACTAACTTTCTGAAATTATGTTTCCTTTCCATCAGAAACCAAACATAAAAAGAGTTTTTCACTAATTACACGTGTATGCCTTATATAAATGAGATTTAACATTGAGGTATTGATTGTATATAACTAATGTACCTATGTGTTCTATAATTATACCGTATATATGGATATAAAATAAATGTGTTATGCAAAATATTACACATTCTTAATGACAAAGAGAGAGAGAGAGAAAGGAATAGAGAAACAGAATGTTCCCTTTCCCAGTAATATAACAAAATATTGTAAAAGATTAGGGCAGAAATGTCAATGCAGCCTTTTAACAATGGATGTACAAGTTTAATACAAAGAGCAGGTTCAGTGCCTCGATGTTCCGGGGCTGATAAGCACAGGGTAAATGAGAAACCTTATCTTAGCAAATCTCCATAAGGCAATGCCATACCTTGGCGATAACTTGGATTCTTCAAGGAGCTTTTTAAATTCTTCTTTGGCTAACAACAGTTTATTTTTCTTTTCTTTGTACTCTTCTCTGATCCTGGTCTTGACAAACTGTTCAAATATCTTTCCAAGAAAGGGAAACAAGATAGAGCATTTATTAACAGAGCCTTTATGGTATTTATGCTTGATCAAAGGGCTGTCAATCTCCCAGCTCACAGTTCTTATCTGCCCTCAGTATAGGCTGACTCTGCTCCGTGCAGCACTGATCATGTTCTCACACAATAAGTAGCTGGGAAAAGGTATCATTTGGACAGATAACGTCTTCATTCAAACATCAAGTGCAACATAAATCAAGATTTCCTGACTTGAGTGTCTCGCTCGTGTTTTCATGCCCATAGCATTATTTTTTGTACATCTGTACAACTGACTGCATTTATTTAGTTTGGCTCCCACATCTTTCCCAACTTGCTGGAATTCTACATTGCTAAACATCAATGTTCTGTAGGTTACCCCCAAAAAAGCCTGAAGACCTTTCAAATCAGTTGTCAAACCCCCCGAGCTTATACATGACCCTTTGTACACATACACCCCGAAGCTTTAATGCATTTGGAAGGGTCAACAGCCTCCCTCTAACAGTATTTGGCAGCTACATATGCAGCAGGGCGCTCAGCATCAGGGTTTTTGGTGTCTTGGACAGGAGTTAAGGAGTTCACTATGCCACAAAATTCTGCCAACTGCTTTGATCACAGTTTTAACACCAAAAATCTGGTCCTGCTGGTTTTACATTCTAAAAATTTTGTGTGGCAAGTCATTGAATAGTAGGAGGTGCTCCTCAAATTGCTATTAGCTTCCCATATTCACCATCCTTTCCACCACAAATTACACACATTAAATATGATTGCTACTGTTACTGCCACAGTTGCCTTCTCATCAGTCATGAGGATGCACAGGTGCAAATCTACATGTCATGAAAGCTAAAGTAACCAAATTAAAACTGCTAGTCTGGTATGTGGAAAAGGGAAGAAATAGCACCAGAAAAGTAAACATCAACAAATGGCCATGAAAGAAGTACTACAAGAAACCTAGAAAATCAGAATATATGATACTGCAATAATTGCGTAGGTTGAGTGTAAGACAAGAAGGAAAAAATGAAACAAATAAAGCAGGTGACACCGTTATTGCTCGCCTTTCTGTTATCAGTGAAGCTATGATGAAGGTAATAAATCAAAATTAACAGGTAGCTCATTATTTTAATACAGTTGCTCCTTTACCCTTCACTGTTCCTTGCTGAAATATCGTAGCATCTTTCAACTGCTAATAACCCCTCAGAAAATATTGGTAAGTAAGCAGAGATAACCACAGATGCTCAATACAGATCGTTAAGTTCCTCGGGCAGTGTAAGGGCAGGGCTTCCACTCCTGGAAGTCAAATCCACCTCAACAACAACTCAAGTCATGAGGAAGTTCCCTCAGACATTTGGAGATCACAGTCAAAAAGCTTGCCCTGCCTTTCACAAGGAAACTCTGGTACAGCCAGCCGTGCTCTGGCACGCACTTCCTTCCTTCCTTTATTCCCTTCCTTCCTTCCTTCCCTCCTTCCTTCCCCCCTCACTTTCACTGTGCGCCACTTTTCACCTCTAGCCCCCTCCAACATAAATTCATTTGCATAATTTAAGCAGGTTTCAGACACTTGCTATTGAGGTCACACCATCAGCATCAGTGAAGGTAAATGCTTCCATAAACCTAAATAATGCCTTCTACTAATTTGAGTTGCACTTCAAGAAGTACTTTAATTAAATCAGGCAACAACTCTTGTCCAACTTTCTTCTTAAACTACTTCTTGGAGGAAAATGGGGTCTAATTAAGTGGCACGACTCATAATGAACATCTAGAAGTCTTAACTTCAAGTGTAGTATCTAAAATATATTACAGACCTGGCATGTACTCCCAAGCTTATTGGCTTTTTAACCCTGTTTTGCAGAAGAGCACCCAACCATCACCCTCTTCCCCCAAATTACTGTCTCTTGCAGAGCCAACCTCTTCCTGCTGATGGGTTTCTACCTACAGCCCTGCCAACTACTTGCTTTTCAGAACCCTTCCCTGCAGTATTCAGTACACCCCCTACACAAGGTCCCCCTCAGCAGTGCCTCAAGCACATTATATTATGTGTATTCATGATGTATTTTTATTATATCATCCCCAAGGCTGACAAAACGGAAGAATTAATATATGTTGATTGACTCATCAAGGTCTAAGTTTTGTCCTTGCCGATTCCCTGAAATAGATACAAAACCCCCTCCTTAGTCTCTTGTTTAGTGGTATTTTCCATTCTAGCTGTTTTCTCTTACATTCTTATTCCTGTATTTCCATATTGTTTTCTTGCACTTTTTTTCTTAGGAAAGAAAATATTGGAAAGGTAGTAAATGAAGATGTATGTGCCCAGACCTTCAGTAAATACCTACAAGAAGCTCTCCGGAGAATCACAAGACAATATGGGACCCTGTGCAATGGAATAGGAATAAGTCCATTTTTCATGGTGTTTATTTAAAATACGGACAATTCCATATTCAAAATTCTTCCTCTTCCAGGATGACAAAAGACCGGTAAGGAAGAGAAATCACCACAGAGTAGAAGCGTTCGCCTTCTCCACAACATCCTTGCATCTCTCCTAAATTTTTTAGACTAATTTTCAGCCCTCAGGTCCTTTTAGATCCCCAGTGATAATTAACGCCCAAATAAAGAAGGCAGCAAAACGCCCACTTCCCTTTGCACTTGCCAGAAAAACAACCCCCATTGAAGCAGGAACCAGCGCAGCCACCGTCTCTATCCCCTTACACCTAGGCCAGTTTATTTATTGCAAAATACAGCAGTAAATACTGCCAAACTCCTAGAAAATATTCTAGGCAATAAAAATGCAGTAGTCTCTCTACAATATTTAAATAATTCAGAGTGGAAACATTGCTTTATGGCCCTTTCCCTTTCTGCAGCCCAGTCTCCCAGACTCAGGGGGAGTTGCTCCCACACCCCAAGCTCCGGCAGCTCTAATCTCGGTGCAAAATCACTTGTCACCACTCCCTTTTCAAAGGCCAGAGCATTTTCTCACGAGCAGAGCTGACAATACGAGTCTTATTGCAAAACTCAAGAAAGAAATTTTAATTCTATGCAATCCTTTTTATCCTACCAAGTTAACTGCTCTGTTATTCCGGTTAATTTGGGAGATGTTTGCTGCCAATCAGCAGCTACGCTGGAGGTGACGCTCACCTGTTTACGTTCCTCTGAATTTAGTAGAAGGTAGCGTGGATCAAATACTATTTTGTGCAACTCTTTTTCCCACGTAGAAAATGCTGAAACCTGTGAAGTACACAAACACAGTGGCATTAAGGAATTTTAATAAGGATGTGAAAGAAGGAAATGTTCCAAGGTGAAGCAAAAGAGTAGTTCAGAAAGCTAATGAACCCTCTAAAGGATGCCTCAGAGCGGTTGGAAGCTGAATTTTAATCTGTTTCTGGCAATGCTCTGGTCGCCCCCACACCATTAGTATTGATTTGCTCTAGGACATCTCAGCGAGTGTCTGGGAGACGCTCATTCCAGATTTTTGATGGAAAGAATCTGTAGCAGAACGGAAAATTCCCATTTTATCATCCCCTTTGTACAACAGAAGCATCAATTTCCATTTAAGCAATTATCTCGGCTTTAGCTCCCCTCCTCTCCAAAACTTGAATTATAACCCAAATGAGGCTGTCAGTGCACACACACACTGGAAACCTTCCCAGCACCATGTTTTTGTAGTAAATGTGCTGCTTTGGAGCAGGGCCCCGGGCAGCCACCCAAGCACGGGGAAGTGTCACCTCCTACAGAGGCTCTTCCACCTTCTCCAGAACCTCCTTGCAGTGAGCAATGTGGAAGGACCACCAGGAGCCCACGCAGGTCCCTCGTTCACCCAGGCCCTGGGATGGCACATGGCACTGGTGCATGCTGAGGAGCTACTGCCTCTGCTTCTCTTTGGGGCTGTCTGTAGGAATTTAATTAGAACTGCACCTGCGAAGGGCTTTCAGCTCTGCACAGCCACCTCTGGGTGGATGCACAGGAGGAAAAGTCCCAGTATCACCAAACCAACGCGGTAACAGACAGAAGAACCCCTCTCGATATTTCTTCATGTGACTGTAAGTGACAGTTAGGAAACGAGTCCTGCAGTGGTTCGGGGTGATGCCCTGGTTCCATAAAGGGGACGTGCCCAAGGAAGCAGCGCGTGTCTCACCCCCCTCTCCAGCAGCATGTCTCGGAAATGCGTGATGCGCTCCTCCAGGGGTGGTGAGACCCGCCGTGCCGATGGTTCCTCCGTTTTCTCCTCCCTTTCAGCCTTCCCCTGGTCAGCAGCTTGGGAATCTTCTGTTCTTTAACAAGGTAAGACAGAAAATAGTTCAGTAATTGTCAACTCACGAGGGGATTTTTAAGCCTCCCTAGAAAATCCTCCTGGACAGTAGGACATCTCCATGCACGGAGTATCCCCTGAGAAGTGACCCCAACCTGCAGCTCTTTATTAACCCACAGGGATCTCCAACAGCTCCTCGTGTGGAAGGATGGTCTGTCGGGGTGATCAAAGAGGAGCTCAGCAGCCAAATACTGCGCTATATTTCAAGCTACAGAAAAGTGACAGCTTCATATAAAATTTGTCAAGGAGCGGAGACTCTAAAGGAGTGACTGAAGAGACTCATCTTGTTTCATTTTTCTTTCCTCGGTTTTTCTGCCCCTGAACTTGAAAGTCAACACTAATCTTTATTTTATGTTCCCATGCAGCCCACGAGCTCGCTCCTGAGGGAAGGAACCGGGCAATGCATCGCATGCACAAACCTGCAATAAAGCAGCAGCCAAGAACCTGCCCCGTGTCGGTGCCTGAAGGTCTGTGTTTATCCCCAAAGCCTTTTTCCGAGATTGTATCTGATTAGAATAAATAGGGGTTTCTGAGAAAATACTTAGTACTTATTGCCTGAGCCCCTTTGCTTACAAGACCCCCTGGATAAAGACACGTGTGCCCATTGCAGGACAGGAGTTTATTGGTTGCAACCACAGAGTAGCAGCAGCCTTAGAGCGATGGTCTGCTCAGGCGCAGCCCTACAGAACCGGTGTCACCACTGGAGTGGAACTTTTTCACACCAGATGAACACCTACATAATTTTATCAGAGTTAGAGACCATTAACACTGCTGTCTCACAGGGCTGGAAGCCAACACCTATCTCCCCGTGGTTTGGAGGGCTGGAGATTTGACCCCATGGACCCTCAGCATCTGCTGGAGGAGATGACTGAGGTGGGAAGCTGGCCAGGGGCAGGGGCTGTGCCAGGAGATGGGACGGGAGACAGGGATACAGAACTCCCCAATTAAGAGAAAGCAGCCAACCCAGACCTCCAAACCAGACTTCTGAGTCCATCCTGCCCTTTCCTCATGCTCTGAGCAATGAGTGGGTTCAGTAAAAATTAAGGCTCTTTCTAGAAAGATCGGGAGCCTTAGAATGATCACAAGGTTCAAGTGAGGATAATGAAATAAGGTGATCTGATTTTTAGCCTCCTACCACGCCTGACTGCATTTTCCACTGATGTAATTTTCACCACTGCGGAATAATACTTAGTTTGAAATTTCAACAGGAAAACACTTTTTTGTTTCCAAGCAAATGAGTTAGATCAGCATGTAACGCGAGCCCTCGCACATTACCTTCCTTCTACAAATAATTACATTACACTTACATTTATCCTAAAATGACACTGTACTCTGAGTGATTTGAGAGAGATCAAACTGGTGTTCTTCACACAAAGACACCAACTTTTATATCATAATAGCAAGTTTTATTCTGTGACATGATCCATGAAAAGCCCAATTCCACTTCTAGGGCACACAAAGAGCTTTTTGAAGCTGAAACTGAGAAAAATACAATGCCCTCCTCCACCAGCCAAGCAGCAGAAGAGCCCCTCTTTCCATCAGTCCTTCTTCTGCAGTTGAAAATGATGCGGAAATTCAGACCTCTTTCTCATGCCAAAAATGACAATTACAAACACAGTTTTCTTTAGCAAATAATACAAAAATCTGCATGACAAACTATGTGACTTTCTCCTCAGAAGGACATGTATGGGCAGCCTACCAGCACGACCTCAAAAGCCTTCAATCTCAACATGGACAGTGCGGTGAGATGTCTGTGCATCAGTGATACCCACAGAAAGGGGAAGAGGCAACGGGCACAAACTGCAATACAGGGACACCCATCTGAGCGTAAGAAAAAGCTTTTTTTTGCTGTGAGGATGGCTGGACACTGGGGCAGCTGCCCAGGGAGGCTGTGGGGCTCCAGCCTTGGAGATGCTCAGCCCCCCTGGACACATCCCTGAGCGACCTGCCGGGAGCCGGTGGGACAGAGTCCCCCCCAGCCCTTCCGTCATTCTGTGAAGAAAACCCAGAAAAAAATAAGTTTCTCTGCAGATTGTTTTCCTTTTGTATGGAGTACAACCAGAGCACTGCCTGAGGATGAATGTGACCCCAGTATCTTTTAGCAGTTTCATCATATCCCAATGAAGCATAAATGACCGTGCCACAGCAGGCTGTGGAGCCCAAAGCTCCTGCACCTGGACAGAGGTTGGGCAAACGTCCCTGAGAGAAAGCAGGGAGTCCTGGTGGCTTCTGCACTGGCCTTGGGTCAGGTCCTCTGTCAGTTTGGCCACCAAAAAGCAAGAGAAGCCAAATAGTAGATCTGTTCTTACCAAGGTGAAGTGGTGATCCAATCTGAACCTCTGTGTGATGACCCTCTAGCTGAATTACAAACACTTGTGCTGGAACGTCTACGGAATTAGATCTTATCACTATCACCGAGCTTTCTGTATAGCAGATGATTTACTCTATGTCAAAGGAATAATACGATTTACTAAGTGACTTTTCTTAAACATCTCCCAACAGCGTTCCCTGTTCAATGTAGGAAAACATTCTCTGCCTTCACAGGCAATTATTAGCATGGACATGACAGGAATATGAATAGTTTTTCGGTCCCTCCAGCACCAAAATGAAAATTTGTTTAGTTTTCTGTAAAGAGCAATCTGGATTCCGTCTGGAGTGAGCAGTGCTTTGTCTGTGCCCAAGGAAAACAAAGCAGAGGAAACAGAAAGTCAGATTTGGACCTTGTACGTGCAACTTGGATGATGAAAAGCTGGTGATGTGTGTCCTCTTATCCAAAACTTGGAGTTTGACCAGCACTTCAACAGACTCCACATCTTGAGAATTCCCCTTTTGGTGCTTATGGCAGGGAGTAACTCGGCTGCTTTTCTTACAAGGAATTACGGGCCATATTTTTTAATTGGTTCTGCTTTTGGCTGACTAATTCAGCCAGACACAGATGGAGGCAACTGAGACCCAAAGCTACAGTCCAATATTTATACATTTGAACAAGCCCTTAGTTTGCATTTCTTTAGTAAAAAGTCGGTATTTTAAAGGTCCATCCATGAAGCTCTATGTTCTGCCATTGTCTCAGGGTACAAAGCAAAGTGCCAAGAAATCTTTACATGCTACAAAAGCGAATTTAAAATTCAAAACAGCTGTAGAAATCATGTAGTGGTTTGGGGATGCGTGTTCTGCTGGCAGAAAAATAAACACTTTATGGCTTTTTGATGACAGGTCAAACTTCTGGGGAACTGGGATCATCACAGCGAAGTCTGAGAAATGCCATGCTGCCAGGCCAAATCTTACTTGTTTCTTAGGGGAACGTTGCCCTTGACTTTCACGGGACTAATGGTCCAAATACAGCAAATAAGAACCGGTTCCTTCTAATCTAAATATTTAATTTAAAAGTTAAGCAAAGATAGAAAAGGTCATAATACTGGCCTATTTTGTTAGATCCACTGATGTTAATAAAAGTATTCTTAAAATGCTTTTATAAGTCTTATACTAGTTTCTAAATACTAAATATTATATACATTGTAAAAGTACATATTTAGTATACATAAAGTATAAGTAAACCCTTTTATACCAAACATTAAATGCACTATAATCGTGGAGCTTATGTTTATACCAAACATTGAATGTACAATTCAACTCAGAGTATCTGATTCTTCCTTCATATTAATATAAATCCACAGAAACCCTTAACGGGGTCAAAAGAACCACCCAATGCAGTAGGACAAGAATGGCAATAAAAGACAGAGTATAATTATCTTCAATATATTCACTTGGAAAATACAGAAATTTGTTGTGCTTACTGGTCAAAATTCCGCCCCAAATATAACATATTATCTATGCAGATTTATTTTACAGATTTTTTCTAATGGTCCAAACCAGTATTTTAATCCCAGCCATCCCGTGAGAACAGCTCAGGCTGTGTGCAGTCACTGGCCAAAGGTTAAACAGAGTGAAATGTCTCTGAGGAACTCCTTAAAACAGAAGTGTTTACTTCATTTTCGTCCTGTTTTGGCAAAGGCTGAGAGAGTTGTTTACTTGGCACATTGGGTTTTTTTTTAGTCTGTTACTTCATGAGCATTGGAAACACACCTGGTAATAAAGGTCAAGTAAAAACACAGTAACAGAAAAACCTGCGGATATTTCTGAGCCGGGAGCTGGAAACCCTGACACCAGCGAAAAAAATCCGCTTCACTTCAATGAAGATAAAGCTTTTATCCGATGGCTTTGAAATAACTACACATCCTTACAGTCCTTTTTTAACCATTTAAAAGTAAGTAAGAGTTACTCAGACAAAAATGGGTGAACATCTTGGGAAACGGAGATTATCAAGATTCATAGGGTTTGATGAGGACTGGATACCTTAAGAATGACTCTCATAATTCATCAGAGATGAATCTCATCTCATCCACAGAGAAGAAAAGAACTGCATTTCCCTCTGTGCTTATTTGTACCAGACATGAGCTTCCCAACATTACATATAGATAAGTAAACTTTAGAACTTACTTATTTCTCTTAGATTTGATGCTAAGATCATCATTTTCATCCCCTGGACAAGAGCTAATACATTTGTCTGCTAAAAAGAAATAAATAGTTGTTAGATTTGAACTAGACAAATGGGAATACAAAATCCTCAAATCAACCTTTCGTTTCTTGTCTTTGGCTGCTGCTCAGGTATTTACTATTTTTCACTTTCCACAGAGCATTTTAAAAATAACACATATTTCATCAGATTTTCAGAATTGCCTTCATCCAAATGAAAGTAATAGCAATAAACCCAACCATTTTCATTCTGAAAAAATGTTCATCGTTCATTTGTGACATTATTGTTTTAAATCTTGTTATTGTTTCACCTGATATTCCTTCCTCCCTTCCCTTAAAAATGCAACTCCAACGACATTTCTGCACAATTATTTCAGTCTGAGGGATTCAATTGTGCTGACTGACTCCAGAATCTCCCTCCTTAGCCCACTTCTCATTCTTACACAGGCAAATATAATGCTGCTTTTCCAGAAATTCAACGTCGAGGATAGTAAGGGTGTGGAGATGCCAACAACCTCCTCACTCCCAATGTTTCAGGGTATCTCCAAGGCACCGCTGTGCTCCTGGTTGGGGCTGGACACTTGTCCTTGAAGGACAATAAGGTCGCATCGTCACTCATAGTGAATGTAAAGTGTACGGAGCAGAGGGAAATTATTCTGGAAATCTTTTTTTTTCCATGTATATAACCTGCAGTTTTCGTCAAAATTCAAATGGACCGACCACCAGACGTCGTGTCCACCCGGTGCTGGGTTTGGGTGGGCAGTGCTCAGTAGTTCACCATGAATTACTTGAGAAATATAAAAATCAAACTATATGTGGTTAGCTTGGGAATATCTGAAACACCAAACCTCAGCCCTTCTACGTTAGACTGGTAGTGAGGACATCTCTGGCTGTTTAGGAAACTATGAAAAAATAAATTTAAAATAAATATAAAATTGAATTTAGGTTATGGAGATAAAAGGTTTGAATAACTTGATATAGAGAGATCTGATCTTACTGAAATCAGATGAAACTCCAAAACATCTCCTAGAAAATGAGTCCAATCTTTGTATCATTGAAGCTAACAGAAATTTGGCCATTTATTTCAAGTTTCAATTTAAGAATCTTGTTCTTAGCTCATTTGGTTTCCCTGTTTTAGGGAAATTACATGTTTATTGGTGTGCTTTCAGCAAATGCTACCTTTTATTTATATTAAGTGCATGAACACGGCATCCACTAAATCACTGCAGAAGGAACAATAAAACCCCAAGAGCAGCTGCAACGTGGGCAGAGCAGGAGCAGAGACCTCGTGAGGAGGGAACACACCGCAGGCGCAAACACTTTACTAATTACAACTTAAAGTGATAATAAGGAGCAATGAATGGCACTCCAAAATAAGCAGTTTGATCTCAACGTTGCTGCCAATATACGAGCACTTTGAATAGATAAATGAATTTAATCATGTGTTAAGTAAACATAAATTCACTGGAACTATCACCTCTTCTTGTAAGCTCTTCTTTGGGACACCCAATTAAAAAGGTAAAGAAATAGGAAAAAGAACCTATAAACTCAGAAAGTGGAATGTAATTCGACAGAGATATCACAAAGCTTTCGGTCAGGAGCTGAACAACCTGCGGAGACAGAGCTGATCTCAACTGCAACCAGCGCCGAAGGCAATAATTGCAATAAGAAACATTTCAAGGAATTTTTGAGGGGAAACAGGGGCATTACGGTCAGTCTGACACAGAACTGCGACAGAGGAGTAATGACTCCACGAGATGCCCTGATGGGAACCCATTAGAAAAGAGCCGTGACACCTCCATAAATCTCCCTAAGAACTAATACTTTGTGGAGGCAGAGTAATTGATAAATGAGTAATTTTTCATTTATGCCCAAATTATAAATGCACTTGATCTTTCAGCAGAGCGATGCACAGATAACCTATCGCACCCCGTGAACAACTACGCTTGCCAACTTTTTTTGTGCCTTTGATTTAAAAATTCTAATTAAAACTCAGCAGCAGCAACTAAGCTAAATAAATTTGGCAACCATTGTTGCAGACACACAGCTCATTTGTGTTATTTATTTACTTGAGATTACAGGCTGAGAGAAATGGTAACAAATAATTCCTTTCACCTCAGCAGCTAATATATACTAATTATAACCTGACTGTCTCAAATACTGAGCAACCGCAAGTCCCAATTATATCAAGGAAAATTAAGACTATTAGCAACAATGAAAACCATGGTCATAAAGAAACTGATGCATGAATCAAATCTTGGTGATAACATATAGATATTAAATAAATAAAAAGGATGGAAAGGCTGGAACACAGCAAAAAATAGATTTCTGAAGTGGCACATACCAACAATGACTTTAGACTCTTCTTCGTTATTAATTATAGACCATGAACAATGGCCCTCAGTTTTGTCTTTGCCCATCATTCCCCCTTGTCAGTAATTAACTGATCTTTCAATATATCCTGTAATAAAAAATGTATGCTATATTTTCTCCTGAAGAATGAACTTCAGTAGAAACACTTTGGAATGACCAGATACCCAGCTGAAGTTATTCAAGCCACATACAAAAGTGATGTGTGTACAAGCATCTGAGGATTGAAATTTACATTGAAAAACGCAATGGCACTACATGGTGACAAGGGCTACACTGATGGAAACCCATCCTTTGGAACTTTTTTCCAGCAAAATTCTGCTAATGTAACTCCTGATTATCTCTCACTTTCATCTACCTGCAGACACAGTCTCAAGTCCACAATTGCACACTCTCAGCCCCTCTCCTGCAGCAGCTGGTGGGAGCTGTGTGTCCATCACAGCCCCGACGGCCCGAGTGCAAGAGGCAGGTCATGGCTTCACGGGACTGGCAGCGCTACCTTACTTTGAGTTACAAAATACTACAATTTAAAAGAATGGCAAAAGTCTCATTTCTTTCCCCTCTCCATTTTTAAAGACCTCACGACTACAGAACAGCCATCGGCTGGAGGAGGCTCTACAAAGAAACTGCTGTAAAGCAGAATATTCAAGAATGGTAAGACAAGCAGCATTTCAGATGGTGGCCGTGCACCTTGATGTCCTCCCAGGAATGGCAGGTCCTACTGACACCACTACTGTGTGAAAGACAACATAGGGGGTCAGGGAATAAAAGGAGCAGCTCCCAGTAACAGGGAGTCTACAAAAAAACCTTGTGAAATGCAATCTTTGGAGAGAAATGTGGTTGGAACAAGCTATGAAGCCACTTCTGCACCAGCAAGAACAGGCTGCTCCTGGACTGGTCACCAGCAGGGACAAAACCTGGACTGAACAATGAAGGTAGGGGGAGCAGAAGAAAGGCTGGCATGGTGAGGAGTATGGGATGGGAAAATTGCCTTCAAAACCTGGCTGTCTTGGGGAGGAGAAGACAGTGAACACCTTGGGTGACTGACAAGCCAAGGGCTTTTCAGTTTTTCCAGCTGTATCTGACCCCTGTGGATTCCTGCAGACCAGCAGGTTCTTCTTCAGTCACGCTCTCAGGCGTCCGCAGTGCTCAGGAGGGGAAGGGCAGAGTCATGCTCAGATGGAAGCACCCGCGTTTCCACCAAACCTTTTAGCACTCATTAGAGTAGACTACTGGGATTTTTTTTCTCCCCTCTACAGCTTGGTTGGATAATCATTAGCTGTGGAGTACCTGCTTTTGTCTAACAGCTGAATAATGCATTGGCAATGCCCTCCTAATGTACATCCTGGAAATAAATGCAATAAAACATAGACAGAGCCTTCCGAGATGTATATTATACATCAAAGATTCATCCAGTATAAGAAGCCACCTGTTTCTTCACTGCCAATAACGAGAACATTCTATCCCCCAGCCTGTCAATGAAAATAAGGATTTTGCAATAAACATCAATTTTAACGCAGTGCTTTTTATGAAATCTCAAAAGGAAAACCACCCTAATTACGGTTATCAAACTTTGACTGAACACATTTAGCAACCACGTTTCATTCGACATTTGAGTTTAAATGGAGGGAAATAATCCCAGGGCTGTAGGTACCTGCTGCAGCTTCCAGCTTGCGCTTGTGGGGGGGATCCTCGATGATCCGGTTGATGTCGCCGCGGTGCTTCAGGTCCACCGGCTTCTCCCAGACAGACAGCTGCATTGTAGGGTTGAAGAAGAAGACCCGGTCATCTCCAGTCCAGACTACACACCTATTCCAAGTGATAAACTATGCTTAGATGATGCCAGATACTCCCACGAACAAGAAATTCACCCGCAGATGGATCATTGCATCTCCCTTCACGGTGCGTGGGCAAGAGCCTGCCCCAGGCCCTGCCAGCCCACGCCACTCACCTCGGGTTACTCTCTTCTTATTAATAAAACATCACAGAAATGGTCTAAAGACCCCCAAAAAGCAGCAGGTGAAATATTCTATCCTGGAAGGGAAAAACAACCAGGCGAGGAGGAACGGTGTGGTGCTCACAGCAAGAGAAGCCACAGGAAAATGCATTTCATGTTCTAAATCTGTGGCTGAGAGCAGCCAATGGCATCCCTGTGGCTTTTCCATGGCATCCCCATGGCATTCCCAGTGGCATCTCCATGGCTTTCCCATGGCATCCCCATGGCATTCCCAGTGGCATCCCCACCGGCTCCCACCGCATTGTCCGCTGCCCTGGACAATACAACCAGCCACCATAGAAGCCCACCACAAAGGTTTAAGTTGATTTTTATGGGTTCTCTTTCAAATTCAAAAAATGTGACCAAGTGCCACAGTGCAAACCGCAGCTTCTTGACTTGGTCAGTTAAAACACGCCTGACAGAGGTTCAGCTTTTTGCCCTGACCTTCATTTTAAATCAGCTAAAATAATATGAAAATAAGTATCGCACCACCCTTAACAGACGTTCAGAAACCTCAAGTTGTACTTCACTAAATCTATATGTAAACAAACAAACAGAATATCAACCTCAAGCCCATGCTTTCTGAATTGTAATGAAAACTAAGAAACATCACACACACTGTGTGTGAACATAGCTGATTAACGTTAATGGGTTATTGTTATCCTTTTATAAATATTCAAATTACAGTCCAGTCCTGCCCAGGAGTAAGTCCCTGCTCCGAAATGCCCCTTGCTGTAAGCAGCTCACTGCGGGGTCAGAGCCACCCGGAGAATTAGTTGCAAATGATGGTCGACTTGAAACCAGCATCTCGTTTGGGACGTGCAATGCTACCATGTGCACGCAGGACCATGAAAGCCCTTATTTGACAGAGATTATAACCAGTGGGTTTGGAAACGTGTGTTTTTTCGCTGCTGGTGCACTCCTTTGGCCACGCACTCAGATCCCCACGGTGCTCATTAATCACCGAGTATCACCAGGTCTCGCGGGCCGTCACCCCAGGTTAGAAATGCTGGGGTCCCTTGTGACACCTCTTCTCTTTTCCATGACTTTTTCCATAATATAATTTGACATTTAATTTAAAATTAATGTCCTTTTCCCCATGTAACATGTCGCCTGTTCCTCTTTGGTGTAATAACGGTTTCAATTATCCACAGGGGACACATGGTATTTTGTTTGAGTCACAGAGCATGAACTGCAAATGCAGATATTGTTATGTTCATGTTTCTCTTTAGAAAATTGTAATTTTAAGAATGAGTAAGGGCACAAGATGATGATATTGGATTATGGGGGGGGTTCTGGTTTGCTTTTTTTTCATTTCATAAGGTAGGTAATGTTTGGTAAGATTCCTGAAAATTTTGGCACTGATGAATGGCTTCTCACAGGTCTGATGGCATTTGCTTACCATGGTGATCCTGGCACGGGAGTGGAGGCCACGGGCTTGTTGCCGTTTGATGTGCTGTCATCCTCATTTACTAGTTTAAAAGAATGATCCTTGAAAGACAGATAAAGATTAGTCACCAAATAAAGCCGAGGCAGAAGACAGTTCTTGTTATACAGATCACTCTGAGGTGAAGTGGATTACCCTTACAGCCACTATTTCACCAACAGCTCTAGGAAGGACCAGCTGCCTTGAGAATAGCCCAGATAAACGGGCCCTCATAAAGATGTCCCCCACTTACAGCCGTGCAAATGAAAAGCCACCAGACCTGCTTTTGTCCAGGCCAACGGCTCACTTGGGACCACGGTGGGTATAACTCTGTGCACTGGAAACGATCCCGTATCCCCAGCACAGCTCCAGCCCCAGGACAGTCCTTCATCCTGACTCCGATTTGTGCAGTTCAATAGTTTAAAGAGGTTTTTAAAAGAAGAGAGTCCATCACAGACCTTGTTGCCATCGCTCTCCACAGGGACACTCTTCCTCTCCGTGTGTAAAATCAGGGTCGGTGGGCAGGAGGATCTACTCGATTCTTTGACATTATCTGTAAGGGGAAAGGATTATTTTTCTGTAGTGTGCAGTAAGTAGATCTCCAGCAAGGCAAAACTGGCAAAGAAAAACCAAACCACTCCTGCAGCTCCAAGTCTCCTCACCTCCTCCTCCCCCCTCAGTCCTTTATTTACACACACACATGTGCCAAGGACCGTATCACCTCCCTAAGTGCCGTGCTGGATCTTATTGGGACACATTCACATGCTTTGCAGTGAGGCTTTCATTGCCCTGAGGTTTTTGTCCTGCTTTCCCTGAACACAACCCTTTTTTCCACAGGCCATGCCCATCTCCCCAGGGGCTCAGAGCTCCCTCTCCCCCTAGCACATGCACGAGGAACCAGAAAACACATTTACCTAGCTGACATCAACTTTTAATTAATCATTACGAGCATTAATACAAATACATAGATGTTAATTGGCAGACTTAAACAAACTGTTGCACATGTGAAATTTGGCAGAGGAGCTTCCCACAGCTGATGCAGAAGAAATGAAATAGGATTGAGAGTCTAAAGCACTCGTAGAGCTCTGTATTGATGCACAGAGAAGTACAATGTACGGCATAACTGCTTCTCTCTCGCCTGCCCTGACCCTGCTCTTTAACAACTGAGGATCGGCTTGAAGAACTGAGCATGGACACAATTCCCATTTGAACTGCCAATGCCCAGGGCAACCTCTCTTCTCCCTCCTTCGAAAAGCTCCCTCACAGCATCCTAAAGCTGAAGGCCCAGGGAGGGACTCGGGTGCTCAAAATAGAGCATCAGTGGCACAGTGATGCAGGTGAACTTCTGCAGCACACAGTTCCTTAGCCATTCCTGTGTGAAATATACGTACACAAAACTTTGGACCATCAGCACATATAAAATAAGATGAAATTTTAAAAAAAATTAAAATAAAATTTTGAAAAAGATAGTCCTGAAAGTCACTGTGCACGTCAGGAGTCATCTATTTTTATATCTACAGTTGAACACTGTGACCATTCTTCCCTAAGAATAATGTCAAGAGAAGAATAACTCAGGCTTGCGCTTGCTCCCGGAGCTCCCCTGACCCTCTCTGCTCCCCGAGGAGGACACGAGCACGGCGCCGTTGGGGCTCCTCACATCCTCAGAGGTTTCCTCTCCTCTGCTCACGCTGCAGTTGGCAGCTGGTGCCCATTTTTGCTCAGTTTCACTCTTTTTTTCATTAATCAACCTTCCCCCCCCTTTAACTTAAGTGCATCAAATAAACTGCAGTCTGACAATTAAGCCACCGCGACATATTTCCAACATAATCAAGCAGCATTTTTGCCCCTAAACTTAGCAGTGTAATCACTAACGATGTGCTCCCGCGCTCGCTGCCGAAGGTTGCGCTGGAGACGGGAGGATAAAGATACCTGATTAAAGAGACTTCTCCGAGGCTCCCCGGCAGGTAGGGAGACATGAATAATTCACAGTATGAAAAGTAAAGGTGAAGTAGCAAAACTGTCTTGGGTATATCACCGAGGATGTAGGTGTATGATCATAAACATCTTATTAAAAGCAGAATTGGAGAGGGAGAGGAGGGGGAAGAGGGGAGAGGGATTCACTCCAGAAGTAACTATGGAGAATAGATTTAAAAAATTTGTTTTGCAAAGGTATTTAGAGGCCAAACCTCCATTAACCCCAAAGGAAGTTTAAAATTTTGATTCTAACTGTTTCAGAGAATTGGATTTACTTGAAGTGCATGCATCTAAACACTGAGCTTTTATTACCCCACCAGCATCCCTGCCAGGCAGCTCTGTCTCTTCCCACAACCTCACTGCTTTTGTATTTTTGAGATTAGCCTAAAACCCACCCTGGCTGATCCCCAATTCCTCCCCTGTTGGTTCTGGCTCCAGCCAAGCCCAGGATTTCAGTGCTGGCCACGTCAGCCGGGCCCGTGCCCCGCTCCCGCCGGCGGGGATCCCACCTTCCCCATCACCTCCGCTCCCGCTCCTGCCTCCGCACTGGATTTCACCCTGTAACTTGTCTATTTTCTGCTTTCACTGGTTTCCCAGTGCCCTGCCAAGCTCTCTCTCCCCTCTCAGAACAAGTCTCCTTCAGCAATGCTTTTTCCCTTCCGTAGCGTCTCTTCCCACTCACCCCTTTATTTTTCTGGAGATTTGTAACGAGAACAGTAAAATAACAAGGACAAATCCTCTGTTTATCGTACGATACTGTGGGCTGTACGCCTGCTGCAGAGTCCAAGGACAAACTCATTTCATTGCTGGACTTCTCAGGCACACAGCCAGCACTGCCCAAATTGGTGCTGTCTGCCACTACCCTGAGAGCAGCTTCTTTGTTAAAGCAGGAAAAGGTGAAAAACTCCTGCCAGCATATCCCCTTGGACACGGTACCACCCAGCTCCCAGACTGGCTCTGTGCCTGTGTTTTTTGGAGCTGCACAGGCAGAATCATTGCTACAAGCATCCCTACGAGCATCACCACGAGCATCCCTATGAGCATCACTAAGAGCATCGCCACAAGAACCCCTACAAGCATCGCATCCCACAGAGCAGCTCCAGCTCCCACCAACTCCAGCCACAGCACAGGGTCCTCCTTCATTCCCCTCCTCCCCCCCTGGGCACGAGGCCACTGGACGCCCATCGCAGGGGGTTTCTCCCCGGTTTTGCATTTCCCCCTCATTTAAGCCTCATTTCTCAGCCCCTCTCTCCACACCCCCGCACGCTGGCCCAGGCAAAGCCGGGCTCTGAGTCAAAGACCTTCACTGAGTTCTTGCTGACCTTCCTTCCTCTGCTCTTTGCACGTGAGTCTTTTTAAAAATCAAGATCTCAGCCCTGATCTTCAAGGCGCTTAACGATCTGATCTCTGAATATCTATAAAATCATGCAGAGCTCTGTGTGGGCGGTAGTTACGGCTCCACCTCTCTTGTACCTACTGGAATGCAAAAAAAGTCTGTTTTCTACTTGAAACTGGGCTTTTCCAGCTTCCAGTACAAAAATAAATGCTTATTGGAAGCCAGGACCATTGCAAAGTTTACTCCTCCTGCTCCAGATACACAGAAAATTTCATTAATGTGGTCTTCATAGAAAGAGGGATTTGGTGTTGTCATGAGCAAAATCCAACTGTGCCAAGCCTTGCTGAAGGCACAATTTTCTCTCTAGAAACCAAGTCAAAGAAAGGCTTATCTATATTGCAAAACAAAAGCGTGGCTGTAACACCGTATGAAATCTGTAGGTTGGTTTAACACTGTGGCTGCAGCAGGCAGCAAGGTGTGATTGTACACGCCTGGTGTGTACATTGAAGTGCTCTACATACTAGATGGAAGATTCATGGCGTAATGTGTTGGTACTCCAGTTGTCCACCCCAGTCCTTTCTTAGAAACAACCCCTGTGTTTTGGTGCTCCTGGGCTGGAGACGCTCAATGAATACATTTTTCAAGGTCGGTCTTTAGCTTTTAAATTAAAAATAAAAAAAGGAAATATTAAAAATACCCCAAACTTGGAGGACGATATCTTCTTAAACCACCTCTCCACCCTAACCACCCACCAATGCGGAGCAGGCTGGCCTGCTTGACTACACCCCCAGGCAGGAGAAGGTCCCAGCACCAGGTCCTGGTGGGGCCACCAGCTGGTTCAGCCCCAGCCCCCACCGCCCACTGACACAGGGACAGGTCACCACGGGACTTGGTGAGGTTCTCAGCATCTCCAACAGCTTCCTAAAGGGCAGGTTTGCTTTTCTGTAGCACTTTGAAGCTGATTTGTGAAAACACCTTTATTACTGTTATTTGCTCTTAATTATGATTCCTACTTTGATTGTTTTTCTGCTGGAGATAATGACAGTTTGTAACAACCTAGAGAAAAGAGGGTGATCCCCTCAGAAGCACCAAAGAAAAATCCATACTATACTTGAGTGAAATTACCATTTTTCTCTTAGGCGTAGTTGGCAGTAAATCAAAGATGACAAAAGGAGGAAGAGGAAGTTATTTTGTATTTTCAGGAAAAAGCTGGAAAGAAATATATAACGTTCATCTTATTTACATTACTTGTTTGCATATAAAAATGTAATGGTTGCTCTCCCAAACTGACGGCCTCCCAACAGAACAGCCCTTTGATTTAGGCAGCCTATTGACCAAACGTCCCACTGGCCTTTATCAGAAGTCATCTACTCATCAGAAGGCTTTATACCGTTAAATCCTTATTCAGCACGATGGATAAAATCAGGAGTGTTTGTGTTTTCGAATCTGCCAAGAAGAGGGTTATGAAATATATTTGATATAAAATAGATTAGAAACCATGGTTCCAGTTGTCAACAAGCAACAAGCTGCAGATCAGCATGACCCTTGCACAAATCTTCACCTTCTCTCCCCGTATTCTTTGAACAGTTTTAATATTTCCTCCATCTCACTCGCTTCTGAGAAGAAAGCGAGTCAATACAAGTGACTTTAAGGAGGAGTTTGCAGGTCTTCAAGCACAATAACTGCACAGAGGATAAAAGAAGAAGGTGTTTACCAAAAGCAAAGCAAACCAGACAAGAAACTTTAAACTGCGTATGTCGAAAGAGACGTCTATGAACTTTCCTTCAGTTTTAAGGTGTCTGTGTCATAAAATTTTCAGCCATTTCCAGAGTGAGCCGGAATACTCAGCAGCATAAAGTCAATCACAGGATCTTATTCAAGACAGGTACGGCAGCAGGCAGACCTGCTTCAAAGGGAGCCTCCAGCTCCACTTATGGATTTCCCTGGCACAGCTGATCACAAAGTATTCCATGAAACTTTTATCTTATCCGTGGGTAGAGCCGATGAGCCTGAGGTACCCACAGAGGAACCGGCTTCGCTGGACAAGTGAGATCTTCCATACCAAAAATGTGTACATGAACAAACACGGTACAAACACATTCATTTCTGACCCTTCATCACCTCCACAACCACGTTAACCCCGAGATGTGAAGGATCAGATAAATCACAGCTGAGCCGATACCTAGTAATTCCCGATAAATGCCAGTTTTTGCTCTGGAACCCAGCTGGGAAGGTGGGTTCAGGACCCCACATGGCCGGTGAGGGCTGGCAGCCCCTCTCCATCCCCAGGTTGGGCAGAGGAACAGCCCCTCCAGCCCCATCGTAGCATCTCACCTCCATTAACAGGGCTCCTGACTTCACAACAACCTAAGAGGGATTTCACCTTATTAGGAAAAAAAAAGTCTCCGATTTCCTATTGAAACCTGACTGCTTTTCCACCGTGACTTGCAAGGGGTATATGTGAATCTAAATAATAGCACACGGCTTCCTCCAGCCACGGGGAACAGCAAACCCCTCCGCTCACCACAACACACACACATTTACATGACAGTGAATAAAGCGGCTTTATCGCCCGGCGCAGCACAAAGCTCCTCGGAGGCCGCAGCCAACGAGGCTTCACGGAGCCACTATCCAGGAGATAACCACATTATCGCTGTAACGCTCCTCAATACCACCAGCCTGGGACACGAAAAGCCCAAGGACGTTTCAGGAACTTGCCTTTTGTATCACCAAATGCAAAGCAACTGCCAACTGCCCGACCGAGGGAACAGGCTCCAAAACGCTAAAGCAAACATCATAAAATCTGAGCTGGCTTTTTAAGGGTCCCCCTATTTTTATGCAGAATGGGAAGCGTGGCTCTGTTGAGAAGTAGGCAGGCATCCAACATATGCTCCAGCAACGTAAACCCCATACAGAAACACAAACACACCTGGTAAGGTTTGCTCCATCAGGTTGGTTGCCATGAAGGTCACCGCCGGCGCGGACACAGCAGTGACCCGGGTGACTTGTGTTGGCATCAACGGTCCCACGTGAGCATCCATCCTGGAGGCAGAACCTGCATTCAAACCATAAGGAAACCTTATTATTTTTTTCCCAGAAAAAAAAACAACTCACTTTTTTCCCAGCCCTATTTCAGAATACTCTTTTAACCTCCTCTCTACCCATTTCCTCTCTACCCATTTGCATGGTTAAACCAGGAAGTTTTGTGTTTAGTTGCATTACTGGTCTTATCCAGCCATGATGTCCACCGATTCTCAGCAAATAAGCATCAGTGGAAATTTTAAACTAATGAAAACATGGTCCACAAAATAAGAATTTTCAGGGTTATATCAATGCTTTCAGAACAGCTTACAGCAAGATCAGTTTTCTTGTTTAAGACTAAATAACACACCTCCAGTTTGTTACTCATCACAAACCCTTTGTGTCCCACTCCATCCATGGGAAATTATTTTGCTGACAATTTAAAACAGCAGCTTTATCCAAGGGACTCACACTCTGCTGAGACTACTCACTAAACAGAAAATCGCTAAATTGCTCATACACATTATTCACAATAAAGTAGTAACGCAGGTCTGCTGCTAAAACTATGCTAATTAAACCAGGCTACTTATTCCTTGAGAATTGGCCACTATTGCCAAATTTGAGGTCAAACCTTGAGCATCAGTTTCCCATTAACTGTGCATTTAGACAGGAAACCATTTTTCAGAAACTAGAAGACGGGGTACCACATCATCTCATCTCAGACATGAACTCAGGTGTCCCATCAGGAGGCTCCATGCTCTGTTTAGAACCCAAAATTTCAAAATTAAACAGGGAGTAGTGACCTATCCCTGGTTTAAGGCAGACTCTGGGAATAACATCCAAGCACGATCCAAGCTGTGGAATTTACTGTCCTTTCCTTTCACTAACCCCTCGAACGCTTCTTATCCCAACTCCTCCGCATCTCACAGCAACAGGGATCATTCCTGGAACCTTCACTCCGTCAGAAAAACTCACTCACGCTATAAACCTCTTCATTGATTTTTGCCTCTCGGACTCCAGCTGCCAAAGCAGATTATTAAACCTAACTCTCACCAACATGGTGACACTTTGCTTTTTTGAATGCAACTATAACATCATTTTACCATTAAAAAGGACACTTTTTCTTCCTGAAAACTGTAGTCTTGGGTATTGTGACAACACAAGAAGGTACCTCCTCCTATAAAGGGTTTGAAGAAAGAATGATAAGGCATTTATGGAAGAGGAACAGGTCGGTGTGATGTTTGTTGTGCTACCTACAGCACAACGTAACTGGAGGCACTTGTAACCTTGGCCATCTCTAACAAGACAGTGAACCATTTTCCAGCCCGAGACAATGTTCGGACCTCAGGCAACGACAATTTCTTTTTTCTGTTTTTGTAAAAGCCCCAGGCAAAACTATTAACTTTGATGAGCTCTCTGGATATAAAGAAATGCCGAGGAACCATCAATTCCAACACTGAAGTCTAAGGTGCCTCCGACCACACGGAGCAATCCAGGCAGCAGCAGACTCACAACGGCCCCTCCGGTTTGATGGAGATGCCCAGCAGGACACACGCGTGAACAGACCAGAATTCTGGTTTCCAAACCCTTGGAGACCAAATTCAGCCAGGATTTCCCTCTGTAACTTAGATGTACGGTGCTACACAATTAATTCCACCAGTAATATTTTGTAGAGCAAGAGTTGTTTGGTGTTCTTTGGCTTTTCAATTTAATAACAATAAAACCGACACTTTCATCCTCTCACTTCCAGAATCATCAGAGACAGATTAAAATCATATTTCATCATCTGATCCCTTCCGATTCACGTGGCAGCCTCGCTACCTACAGCAATATATACGGAAAAGGCCATGCAGCTATTCTGAATTTACCCAAAATGACCTCCTTTAAAGATACCAACAACTCAAACAACACTGGAGATGAGCGTGGCCGGGGATCTCTGGCTTCTCCTTTTCCACCTTTACATTTGCAAAGGAGGAGGGAGCAGCTCACACCTCCAGATGTGAAGCTGAGCCACCTGATGGGCTCAGCACAGGTCCCACAAATAATTTTCATGATGTGCTTAATTCTCTCCCCATAGTTGGACAAACACTCCCTGAGATGGGCTCTGCTTGTGCTGTTACCACAGCGTGTGCTGCGTGTGAAACGTGACTTTCCAGTAGATAATTTCAACTGCTGCTTTATGTTGATTTATTTTCACATCCAGGAATAATAAAATTATCAGTGCATCTTTTGGTCTGATGGAAGCAATTAGCTCCCAGCTCCCATCCACATTGGAGGCAAGCATGCACATATATACATACAGATATATATTATTTCATACATGCAGATGTGTTCAAGTGCTTAGTTTAATTACATCTGATCCTCACCAAATAAGCTTGAATGATTTAAGGCAATCATAACCTTTAAGGAATAAATATTTATGCTTTCTAGGTCTTCGTGCTCATAAAAAGCAGCCTTTGCAATGGATGGATCTGGAATACAAATAAACTCTGTGGATTGAGTTTAATGTCAGGATGCAATATAAGCTCTCAGGATGAACCCAACATAACCCGGGCTGGAATAACACCTACACATGAACCTACCACCCCCACACACTCTGCATTCTATGATTAAGTTTAGGCAAATTTCACTGTAAAACAATACGAGGAGGGGGAGGATAAAAGTTATCTTCTCCATGAAGTTTCTGACTATTGTCAGAGCCAAGGAGCCCTGGTGAGTGAGTCGTGCGTCTTGAGAACATCGGTCCAGTTTTAAGGTGATTTCGGTGCAGAGGCATTTTACTGTCCCCTACGAACACAGGCCACCCACGACTCGACCCAACTGCAGTGGGGGCTCTGCAAGGACACAGGAGACAACAGAGGATGAGCAGAAGGTTCAGAGATCTGAGGATCCTCTGCAAGTGCCACTGACTTGCCCTGATTTGCATCCCTGATGAGCAGACGCTGATTTACATCCCTGACAGAGGATGAGAGAAGAGCAGCCCCCGTCCCTCTCCCCCCTGTGCCCAGCCAGGGCAGCTCGGGGAGGCCAAGTCCCACAGCCACACTGGCCAAACTGGGAATGGCTACAGCCACACTGGTCAAACTGGGAACAGTCCGTTGACAACCCCGTCACCCAGCGTGTCTGAACTGGCATTTTTAGGCTGTTGCTTCAGCACCTGAGGAAGAGAACGTGAAACTCCCCACCACGTAACTGACCGACTGCCCCATCTCCAGCAGAACCATAAGTAGCTCAGAAACAGGACAACAAATGGAAAATATACTCTAGCACCCTCGTACATAGTTAATCTGTGCACGCACTTCACCGTAAGGCAGCACCTTCTGATTCTGTCCCCGGCCCTTGGGGTTGTCCCCTCTGCTCTGCAGGGCTTCCCACACCTGGGAAAACCCCCGGGTCTCCCCTGCTGCTGGCTCCCAGCTTCATCTCCTGACCCAGGTGAAGGCCCAGAAGATTTGTGTTGCTCAACTGGCTGATGTGCAGAGCTGCTGGGCTCAGGCGTGGGAAAATGGGAATTTTGCTTACTTTCCTGTTCTGTTTTAATCTACTCCAGCACCTTGTTTTGTTCCCGGAACACCAGCGTTTTAATTCCTCTGCTTTGTCAGAAATTTTATTCTTGCTTGTTTGCATATATATTCATTACATTCTGCTGTGTGCAGACAGCATCACCCTTGGTTTCTAAAGAAGGTGAACATTTTCAGCAGTAAAAGCCCAAGAAAGTAATTTTAAAAAGTGTGCCCATGACCAAAGAGTCGAAAACCTATTAACAGTATAATTTTGTTGACTTTCAAGTCACTGATGCAACACTGAAAATCCCCCACTCAATAAGAAGCCCAGCAGGTACTCCGAGATATGCTTATTTCTAAGTCAAATGTGAGCCACAAGGATTCTTTTTTACATCCAAATTGAAATGTAATGAGAATGTATTAACAAAGAGCATTAAATATTCAGTGGCCTAGCTCTGCTGGGGAAAGCTTTACCTTACACCTCCCGAGGGACGGCAGAGCATCACTGATGTAGGGCTTTGCCCTTTTGACACTGTCTAGAGGAATTCCACTTCTGCACAGAAAAACCAAACAAAACCCAACCAACCCACCCCAGAAAGGCCTAAAGAGGAGACAACCCATACACATGAAATAAAATGCTAATATTGATTCTAAATGCTCAAAAGAGCTTTCCGCACAGCGGCAGATATGGCTGCTGTCTCCTTTCGTGGTGAGTACTTTTGTTTGAGTTTTCCTATTTTTAAACTTAAAAGCAGGAAAAAAAAAAAAGGAAATTGCTATTGAAGATCTATTTTGTTACCATACTGGAAAGTAGAGAAAATAATATATTCAGTGACCTGGGATGGAAAATAGAAGAATGGCAATGAGATGGAAGGGTAAAGGGTGATTCCAAAATGAATGTGAATTTCTAGGAAGGAAGAGCTCTCAGCAGGTTACGGGACTGCCCGGCACAGACACGAGGGACTCGGGGGCACCACAGCGAGCTGGAAAATGCATTAGCTGGCTTATGGATTTTGACACAGAATTTTTTTATTTTATTTTTAGTTAAAAATGGATAGTGTAGAAACTTAATCACCTCATTGCTATTCCATCAGATTAATAAATTGCCCTATAAGGGGGTCAGAAAATTAGTACAGGACTTTGACTCTTTGGTTAAATGAGAAATGCACATGTAACTATAGACAGATAGACAGATACACACAGGGAGACGTGCACAGATGTAACCACACAGCAGAAAGACAACCTGGAGAGCTGTCACCAGGCTTTTCTAAGGGATAGACCCATTTTACCACCTTTACACCGGAGTTTAGTGAAGCACTACCAACAATAATCATTTAAGTAATATGAAATAAGCAAATTCCTACTGCTTAATTGTAACTGTTTGATAGGGAATGGCTTTAGGAGGTAAATGTAGCAGAAAGCTCTTCCCCAGTGCAGCACCAGCAGCGCCTCTGCAGCACCTCTGCATCCCTGCATCCCCACATCCCTGCATCCCTGCATCCCCACATCCCCACATCCCTGCATCCCCACA